CCTCCTGCACTCGTGCACCCTGTCTCTACTCTCCTTCCCCCCTCTATATATTGTTACAAATTTTCCCCTTCTCCACCCGTGCTCTCAAAAACTACCTCCCCTTTTCCCCTCCCCCTCTTCCCCCCCCCCCCCCCCCCCCCTTCACTCTCCGCCCCACCCACGTGCAGGTCATTCAAGGGCTCAAGCGCCTGGGCCGCGGGAAGAAGGGCGCGGGGCAGGGGGGAGCAGGGGGAGTGAAGGCGGGAAAAGGGGGGAAGAAGAGAGGTCGTCCGGGGGGTGAAGGGGAAGGGGAGGATGGCGGGGAGGGGAGGGGGAAGGGGGGGAGGCAGCAGAGCAGACCGCGGTGGATGGCGGAGGCGGGAGGGGGGGAGGGGGAGGAGGGGGGCATGGATGAGGAGGCGAGGCAGCGGCTGTTTGAGCAGTTGACTGAAGACGCGATGCTGCTCATGGATGCTGGCGAGACAGGTACGGTGGATAGGTAACTTCTGGTGTAAGCATAGGCATTTGGAGAATCATCTTGTGAAGGAGTTGGGTGAGTGAAAGGATGAGTGTCATTCTTGGTGCAGTGCATCGTATGTGCATCTGCGTGCCTCTTCTCCTGCCTCTCATGGCACACACGCCATGCCAACAGCAAGGCAGTGAGGGCACTCAACCGCTTCCTGCGTCACCCGTGGCCTGTGCTCCTCCGTTGCTTCACCCGTCCCCCCGTGCGGCACGGTGCTGGCAGAGGCGTCCTCGCACGACAGGCAGACGCTTGAGCCCACCATGCATGCGAGCACGGGTGACCATCATGCATGCGAGCACGGGTGACCATCATGCATGCGAGCACGGGTGACCATCATGCATGCGAGCACGGGTGACCATCATGCATGCGAGCACGGGTGACCATCATGCATGCGAGCACGGGTGACCAGCATGCATGCGAGCACGGGTGACCACCATGCATGCGAGCACGGGTGACCATCATGCATGCGAGCACGGGTGACCATCATGCATGCGAGCACGGGTGACCATCATGCATGCGAGCACGGGTGACCATCATGCATGCGAGCACGGGTGACCACCATGCATGCGAGCACGGGTGACCATCATGCATGCGAGCACGGGTGACCATCATGCATGCGAGCACGGGTGACCATCATGCATGCGAGCACGGGTGACCATCATGCATGCGAGCACGGGTGACCACCATGCATGCGAGCACGGGTGACCACCATGCATGCGAGCACGGGTGACCACCATGCATGCGAGCACGGGTGACCATCATGCATGCGAGCACGGGTGACCATCATGCATGCGAGCACGGGTGACCATCATGCATGCGAGCACGGGTGACCATCATGCATGCGAGCACGGGTGACCATCATGCATGCGAGCACGGGTGACCACCATGCATGCGAGCACGGGTGACCACCATGCATGCGAGCACGGGTGACCACCATGCATGCGAGCACGGGTGACCACCATGCATGCGAGCACGGGTGACCACCATGCATGCGAGCACGGGTGACCACCATGCATGCGAGCACGGGTGACCACCATGCATGCGAGCACGGGTGACCACCATGCATGCGAGCACGGGTGACCACCATGCATGCGAGCACGGGTGACCACCATGCATGCGAGCACGGGTGACCACCATGCATGCGAGCACGGGTGACCACCATGCATGCGAGCACGGGTGACCACCATGCATGCGAGCACGGGTGACCACCATGCATGCGAGCACGGGTGACCACCATGCATGCGAGCACGGGTGACCACCATGCATGCGAGCACGGGTGACCACCATGCATGCGAGCACGGGTGACCACCATGCATGCGAGCACGGGTGACCACCATGCATGCGAGCACGGGTGACCACCATGCATGCGAGCACGGGTGACCACCATGCATGCGAGCACGGGTGACCACCATGCATGCGAGCACGGGTGACCATCATGCATGCGAGCACGGGTGACCACCATGCATGCGAGCACGGGTGACCATCATGCATGCGAGCACGGGTGACCATCATGCATGCGAGCACGGGTGACCACCATGCATGCGAGCACGGGTGACCATCATGCATGCGAGCACAGGTGACCATCATGCATGCGAGCACGGGTGACCATCATGCATGCGAGCACGGGTGACCACCATGCATGCGAGCACGGGTGACCACCATGCATGCGAGCACGGGTGACCACCATGCATGCGAGCACGGGTGACCACCATGCATGCGAGCACGGGTGACCACCATGCATGCGAGCACGGGTGACCACCATGCATGCGAGCACGGGTGACCACCATGCATGCGAGCACGGGTGACCACCATGCATGCGAGCACGGGTGACCACCATGCATGCGAGCACGGGTGACCATCATGCATGCGAGCACGGGTGACCACCATGCATGCGAGCACGGGTGACCATCATGCATGCGAGCACGGGTGACCACCATGCATGCGAGCACGGGTGACCATCATGCATGCGAGCACGGGTGACCATCATGCATGCGAGCACGGGTGACCATCATGCATGCGAGCACGGGTGACCACCATGCATGCGAGCACGGGTGACCACCATGCATGCGAGCACGGGTGACCACCATGCATGCGAGCACGGGTGACCACCATGCATGCGAGCACGGGTGACCACCATGCATGCGAGCACGGGTGACCATCATGCATGCGAGCACGGGTGACCACCATGCATGCGAGCACGGGTGACCATCATGCATGCGAGCACGGGTGACCACCATGCATGCGAGCACGAGCACGGGTGACCATCATGCATGCGAGCACGGGTGACCATCATGCATGCGAGCACGGGTGACCACCATGCATGCGAGCACGGGTGACCATCATGCATGCGAGCACGGGTGACCATCATGCATGCGAGCACGGGTGACCATCATGCATGCGAGCACGGGTGACCACCATGCATGCGAGCACGGGTGACCATCATGCATGCGAGCACAGGTGACCATCATGCATGCGAGCACGGGTGACCATCATGCATGCGAGCACGGGTGACCACCATGCATGCGAGCACGGGTGACCACCATGCATGCGAGCACGGGTGACCATCATGCATGCGAGCACGGGTGACCATCATGCATGCGAGCACGGGTGACCATCATGCATGCGAGCACGGGTGACCATCATGCATGCGAGCACGGGTGACCATCATGCATGCGAGCACGGGTGACCATCATGCATGCGAGCACGGGTGACCATCATGCATGCGAGCACGGGTGACCATCATGCATGCGAGCACGGGTGACCATCATGCATGCGAGCACGGGTGACCATCATGCATGCGAGCACGGGTGACCATCATGCATGCGAGCACGGGTGACCATCATGCATGCGAGCACGGGTGACCATCATGCATGCGAGCACGGGTGACCATCATGCATGCGAGCACGGGTGACCATCATGCATGCGAGCACGGGTGACCATCATGCATGCGAGCACGGGTGACCATCATGCATGCGAGCACGGGTGACCATCATGCATGCGAGCACGGGTGACCATCATGCATGCGAGCACGGGTGACCATCATGCATGCGAGCACGGGTGACCATCATGCATGCGAGCACGGGTGACCATCATGCATGCGAGCACGGGTGACCATCATGCATGCGAGCACGGGTGACCATCATGCATGCGAGCACGGGTGACCATCATGCATGCGAGCACGGGTGACCATCATGCATGCGAGCACGGGTGACCATCATGCATGCGAGCACGGGTGACCATCATGCATGCGAGCACGGGTGACCACCATGCATGCGAGCACGGGTGACCACCATGCATGCGAGCACGGGTGACCACCATGCATGCGAGCACGGGTGACCACCATGCATGCGAGCACGGGTGACCATCATGCATGCGAGCACGGGTGACCACCATGCATGCGAGCACGGGTGACCATCATGCATGCGAGCACGGGTGACCACCATGCATGCGAGCACGAGCACGGGTGACCATCATGCATGCGAGCACGGGTGACCATCATGCATGCGAGCACGGGTGACCACCATGCATGCGAGCACGGGTGACCATCATGCATGCGAGCACGGGTGACCATCATGCATGCGAGCACGGGTGACCATCATGCATGCGAGCACGGGTGACCACCATGCATGCGAGCACGGGTGACCATCATGCATGCGAGCACAGGTGACCATCATGCATGCGAGCACGGGTGACCATCATGCATGCGAGCACGGGTGACCACCATGCATGCGAGCACGGGTGACCACCATGCATGCGAGCACGGGTGACCATCATGCATGCGAGCACGGGTGACCATCATGCATGCGAGCACGGGTGACCATCATGCATGCGAGCACGGGTGACCATCATGCATGCGAGCACGGGTGACCATCATGCATGCGAGCACGGGTGACCATCATGCATGCGAGCACGGGTGACCATCATGCATGCGAGCACGGGTGACCATCATGCATGCGAGCACGGGTGACCATCATGCATGCGAGCACGGGTGACCATCATGCATGCGAGCACGGGTGACCATCATGCATGCGAGCACGGGTGACCATCATGCATGCGAGCACGGGTGACCATCATGCATGCGAGCACGGGTGACCATCATGCATGCGAGCACGGGTGACCATCATGCATGCGAGCACGGGTGACCATCATGCATGCGAGCACGGGTGACCATCATGCATGCGAGCACGGGTGACCATCATGCATGCGAGCACGGGTGACCATCATGCATGCGAGCACGGGTGACCATCATGCATGCGAGCACGGGTGACCATCATGCATGCGAGCACGGGTGACCATCATGCATGCGAGCACGGGTGACCATCATGCATGCGAGCACGGGTGACCATCATGCATGCGAGCACGGGTGACCATCATGCATGCGAGCACGGGTGACCATCATGCATGCGAGCACGGGTGACCTTGACGGCTGCTGGACACACACGAGTTCAACGAGAGAGCATACCATTCCTTCCCCTTCGCCCCCTCTACCCATCCCATGTGGCACGGCACGGTGCGTGCGTGCATGCGTGCAGAGGTGTACTCGGACAAGAAGGAGACGTTTGAGCGCGAGGCCGCCGGGTACGAGGCCATCCTCAGGGCGCGCCAGGGGCTGCTGGGGGGCGACCAGGGGGAGGGGAGCAAGGGGGATGGGGGCAAAGGCGGGGAGGAGAGAGGGAGTGGGGAGAAAGGAGGTGCGGGGATGGACATGTTTGGCGATGAGGAGGACGAGGGCGGGGGTGGTGCAGGGGCCGATGGTAAAGGGGAAGGGGGGGAGAAGGAAGGTGAGAGGAAGGAGGCAAAGGGAGGGGCAGAAGGGAAAGAAGGGGAGAAGGGGGGAGGGGAGGGGAAGGAGGGAGGGGAGGAGAAGGCAGGGGGTGAGGGGAGTGGAGCGCCAAGCAACAGCAGCGGCTATGAGTTTGACCCCGCCAGTGGGTGAGTGCGTGCCTGGTCTACCTGAACCTTTGCGGCCACTGGGTGCGAGCAGAGCAGAGGGTGCTTCACTGTTTGTGAGTCCATCACCTGAACCCGCCCATCGCCCTCGTTTCCCTCCACCACACCCGTTCCTTTGGAAACCCCCCTTCCCTCCCCATGTCCCTCGCTCCTACTGTTTGCAACCGCAATACAACTTTCCTCAGGCCACCACACTTCGCATGTCAATGCCTGCAATGTCTTTCCGCTCCCCTCTTCCCCCTCTCGACTCCACTTCCCCCTTCCATTTCCCAGCGACTACTGTAACAAGGCGCAGGGGTACGACTAGGACTTCTCCTCCAAAGAAATCTCTCCCACCCGTCCTGCAACTCACCCTCCTCCCCCCAGCTACTACTTCAACAAGGAGCAGGGGTATTACTACGACTCTTCCTCTGGCCTCTTCTGCAGTGCTGCCGACGGCACATGGTACGGTGGAGTGCGGTACAGTGCGGTGACAGATGCTGGCACACAGGGTAGGGTGCAAGCAGTGTGATGCTGTTACGGCCTGCTGTTAGCATGCGGTTTTGGTACTTAGAACACCAACGGCACACAGTCTCGCCTGCATGCCAAGCCGCCTGTGTGAAGTGCGGCAACGAGCCGTGCGTGCACTTGTGCTGGCATTGACATGCCTCTCCCCCCGTGGATCTCGCGGCAGGTACCGCTTCAACGATGCCACAGGCGAGTACGAGGCGCTGCCAGGTGATGCCTCGCAGGGGGGTGCATCAGGCGGCGGTGGTGGTAAGGAAGCGGGAGGGGAGGAGGCAGATGCGGGCAAGGCAGGTGGTGAAGCGGCAGGTGGTGATGCAGCCGGTACAAAGGCAGAGGGAGGGGCTATGGCAGGTGAGGGGCGAGCACATGAAGGTGGCGCACACACAGAGCAGGGGGCAGCAACTGCCGCCGCTGCCGCTGCCGCTGCTGCTGCTGGGGACGGATAGGATGGAAGGTAGGTTGTGCTGAGCTGAGGGTAGGTAGGTGCTTTGCAGGCTCCGTGTCGAGCCTCCGTGCAATGCATGTCCGTGATGCTTTGAGAGGTTGTTGCTGTTGGAAATCAGAGTACAGTATAACGAATACTGTATACCAGTGTGTTGTTTGGTTTTAGTGTAGTCCCCTTTATAAGCCTCCAGGTCCTACAATAATTGTCACAAATATTGTAGAGCCAGAATTATTGGAGCTTAGCATTATTGGAGGGTAGGGGGAAGACTTATTGGTGCACCATTATTGGTATGAATGGGGCCATCCTGTGAGAGTTACCGTAGGTGGGTCCATAAATACCCTGTTATGTCATGTCTCAATCAATCAATTCTCAACCCATTTCCAATGCAAGCTTTCTATCTTGTTGTTTCTACAAACACGTTTCCGCTACGTCGGCACTATGCCTTTCTAGCATGGTATCAGAGCTACTTTGGGGGGCATGCTGCCAAATTTGGTTCAGAAGTTTACTGACATTTACTACGTATAGGTGTCCGCATACAGTCAGAGTACCGCACACCCGGTCTACGCTAGTGTATACCTGGTGTTCGCTTCCGTGTCCAACCACGCATTTAGCGCACACTTGGTGTACGGTTTGATCAACATCATGGCGCACTTCGACGATGAAGAAGATGCTGGATGTGCGGCTTTCGAGGAAGCCATATTGGCTCAACACGAGCACCTGGAAAACATGATCGCAAGGGCACCACCCGCACTTCAGGCATCACTACGGGTCAAGTTCAACATGCCAACGACAACACACTCTGACGGGCTCAGCAATCCGTCAACTCATGGGCAATCTCATTCAAGCACTCCTCGTACTAACCAAACTCGTGCATCAAATGTTCATGCAGGAATTGATGGTGACGGAGAAATGGGCATACCTCAAGGAGGAGAGTCATCCAAAGGGAGGGATGCATCCGTCCAAGGATAGGAGAGCGCCAATCCCGCACCTCAATCGTCCATGCAAAAGGAAGCACGGGGGAGGAATGCTGAGTATGGGAGTGCAGTGCTTGGTGGAATGAGAAGTGGACAGATTGGGCAGCAGGGTGACGGAAATGGTCAAGTGGGCGTGGAAGGTGTGGGTTTTGCCTCCTACACTATTGGTGCTCCCCCACTACGACGACTTGCAACTAACTCCCATCCCATTGGAGTTCCTCCCATGGCCAGGTCTCACCTTCATGGCGGCTACAACATCATTCCTCCACGTGCACATCGTCCACCAATCGGCGCACACTCTGTGGACAGCATGGGGCGGATGGGATACGGAATGCAGTCAAGTGGTGTCATGCGACGTGATCAAGTGGAAGTGCTGGAACGTCAACTTGGTGGCCAGAATGGAGATATGCAGCGCACAGTGCAGCTACCTCGACCGTCAAACTTGCCTACTCTCTTCGACCCCGCTCCACGTGAATACACGGAGGAAGACAAGGAACGGCTGTCACGCAAAATGGTGGGAGCAACAGTGGACAAGGCATTCACCACCACTCCGTTTGACGGCTCGAATTTCCGCGAATGGGCACTGCGGTTTTGCATGAACGCTCGTGTCACGAATCTGTGGGAGTTATTTGTGACTCTGCAGTATCCGGTTACCATGGGAGATGGTGACATTGACGATGCGGAGATAACTAATGCAACGGGAGCTAGACTACGGGTCAGGCACGGATGCTCGTGTGATCTCTGCGTTCGTTCGTTCCTTAGTCGTTTCCAAGTGCTATCACTGCTTGCTAGTTCACGGGGAGAATTGGCAAGAGTTTCACTAGGAAAACATAACAACAAAGGTTCAGAATGATTGGCATCAACATTGGCAACACAGACTACATCAGACCTAGCAAGGCTGTTGGTCGACTGCCAGCGCAGCACGGTCGACCGCGTGCCAGCACGACTTGGTCGACCGCGCTCCAGCAGAGCAGAGTCGCGGCTTGCCAACGTTGCCCGTCCGCGGTGTGCCAATGCTGCAGTAAGTCGGCTGCACAGCGATGCATCCGCGGGACAACAGTGCACCAGCTTCGCAGGTGCGCGCTGCTGGTTGGTGCCCAACTCCCTGTCACACGCCCAGCGCAGACACTCCACGCGTGACGGCGCCCACCAGCCACGTCGACCTCGGGATACCACCCCCGAAATCGTACTTGCAGAAACACCCCTGGCGACTTTTGCGCGCGTCGCCCGGGTATCCTGGTTGACCAGGTATTTCGCGGTCCTCCCGCGATTTCGTGGCCACCGCGGTCCTTCCGCGATTTCGTGGCCACCGCGGTCCTCCCGCGATTTCGTGGCCACCGCGGTCCTCCCGCGATTTCGCGGCTCCCACGAACCCCCGTGGTTTCGCGGCTCCCACGGACCCCCGTGGTTTCGCAGCTCCCACGGACCCCCGTGGTTTCGCGGCTCCGCCCAAGCGAGGACGGGGCCAAACACAACTCCCGTTGACACTCCCCTGCCGCGTTCACGCTTGGGCCCTCCCCCCGGCCCACACGGCAGTACTACTTGGAGAATAGCCCGTCGGCGTGCACACAACGCACAGCACGCCGGTCACCGCACCAGCCATGCAAAAGGGCATGGCACCTACTCCTACACGTCGTTGTCACCGTCGCCCACATCGGCCAGGCGCACTTGGCCGATTGCAACAGAGCACCGGTTGAAGGCCGGGTAGTGCAGCGCCTTCGTCGGGAAGTCGGCCGGCTGCTCAGCGGTCGGGATGTACTTCAGCGAAAACTTCCCGCGCTTCACCATGTGCTGCAGCCAGGCCTGTCGCCGCTCCATGTGCTTGAGGTTGCCCGTCAACCCCATGCCCTCGCCGACCGTGATGGCCGACTTGTTGTCCACCCTGAGGACAGTCGGCTTCCCAGCGTCCAGCCGCTGGAACTCCGCGAGGAGGAAGCGAAGGCGACGTCCCTCCTTGCCGGCTTCGACGGCCGCCACGTACTCCGACTCGGTCGACGACAGCGTCGCGCACTTGATGCGCTGGCTCGACCAGGAGACCGCGGCCCCTCCGTAGACGAACACGTAGCCGCCCGTGCTCATCCGGTTCTGCTTGTCACCCGCGTCATCGGCGTCCACGAAGCCGACCAACTCCAGTGACTCCGGACCACCGTCGAACTCCAGGGCGGTGTCTTGCGTGTTGGCGAGGTAGGCGAGGCAGCGGTCGACCTCGCGCCAGTGCTGGTCGCTCCTCACCGTGAGGCCGCTCCCCAGCGTGCTGCACGCAAATGCGATGTCCGGCCTCGTCGTCGTCGCCGCGAACTGCAGCGAGCCGACCTTCTGCCTGTACTCCTCCTCCTTGCGCTCCTGCGCTGCCTCGTCGTCGAAGATCTGCTCCGCGTAGGCGGCGACGGAGACCGGCGTCTTCGGAGTGCGCCCGATCTGCTCGTCGTCGATGAAGCGCCTGCGTAGCTTGTCGGCGTAGCCCTGCTGGTGCAGCCACAATTTTCGCGCCGGCCTGTCGCGCACGATCTCCAGGCCGAGATACTTCTGCACTGGCGAAATTTCGCGCAGCTCGAAAGCGACCTCCAGCAGCTCCTTCAGCTCCTTCAGCATCGCGGTGCTGCTGCTCGCGGCGAGAAGGTCGTCGACGTAAACCAGCACCCAGCAGGTCACCTTGTCGTCGCCGACCTTAAAATACAAAGCCTTGTCGACTTGGCTCTTCTTCCATCCGGCGCCCACCAACACGTCGTTGAGAGCCGTGTACCACAGCAGCGGCGACTGCTTCAGCCCATAGAGGCTCTTCAGCAGCTTGCACACCCGGCCGGTCCCGTCGTTGAAGTGGTCCGGCTGGTACATGTACAGCACGCGATCGAGCTTGCTCTGCAAAAAGGCGTTCTTCATGTCCAGCTGTATCAGGTTGAGGTCGAGGACGGCGACGATGATGAGGAAAATCCTCAGCGTGACGTAGCTGCTCACCGGCGCATACGTCTCGTCGTAGTCAGCGCCATACACCTGCGTGAAGCCCTTCACGACCAGCCTCGCCTTTTCGCGCTCGACAGTGTCGTCGATGCGGTACTTCGTTGTCAGCACCCACCGGTTCTTCATTATGTTCACCCCCGGCGGGCGTTCGACCAGCTCCCAAGTGCCCATGTTGATGAGGCTACGAATCTCCTCCTCCATGGCGGCCTTCACCGCCGGGCCCTTCCAGCTCGCCAACGCCTCCTTCACCGTCATGGTCGAAATGTCCCAACGGTGTTCGGGATCGGCGTGAATGTCGGGGTCGAGCTCCGAAAACTCCTCATCGTCCTCGGCGTCATCGTACGCCAGGTCGTCGTCGTCCACATCGTACACCGTGGCGAAGGCAGCGGGGACGAAGAAGTCGGGTGGCCTCCGAATTCGGCCCGACTTCCGAGGTCCGGGCTGCACCTCCACCACGTCGCTCGATGTGCCTTCATCGAACTGCTCCCCTGTCGTTCGCTCCTCTGAAGCGAGCTCCGCGTTCGACGGCTCCCCTGTTGACGGCTTCTCTGAGACGCGCTTCCCGTCCGACGACTCCCCTATCGGCGGCTTCTCTGAAATGCGCTTCCCGTTCGAAAGCTCCCCTGCCAACTGCTCCGCGGTCGGCTTCGCTGCTGCATCTTCCCCTGACTGCTGCCTGCTAGCCGCGGGCTCCTCCACGGTCTCCTCCGCGGTCGGCGTGGCGATCTCCTCCGCGGTTTCCTCCGCGGGCTCCTTCGCGGGTTCCCCCGCGGTGTCCTTCGCGGTCTCCTCCGCGGTCCCCTACGCGGTCCTCTTCTCCGCCACTGGCTGGGCGTCACGTCGGCCACCGGCGATGCTCTTGGCCGGCGCCACAGGCGACGCCCCACGGCTCCCCTCATCGCCGGAGGCCGACACCGGAGTCAGGCCACGCAATTCGACGGGAAGGGAATGGGAAGAAGGGGCAGGAGATGGCGAGGCAGGGGCAACCGCGACATCCTCATCAGCCCGCTCACCGACCTCGGCGAGCAGAGGAAGCGTCGTCGTCGAGGTGTCCGTCGGCGGGTTGGCC